TGGAGTAAAGCAAAACGGTACCTCCTGGCCACCACTGGGGCTGGGGGAAGGGACGCGTTCCAGGGGAGAAAACAATTAGCTTAGATGAAGATGACCGGGTGGTTCTCCGTGCACTCGCCGAGGGGACTCAGTGGGTAGCCTCTCAGAGCAGCTCTGAGATAAACTGTCATCCGAGTTAATGGGTGACAGACCCAGAACAGTTCCCAAATCTTGGCACTTTCGCTCACTAGCCAGAGGCACCCAGCCTGGCCTCTGCTTCCCGGAGCGCAGGCACCTGTAACAATCAGGGCACCGGGAGTAGCCGACTCAGCTGAAGCCGGTGATGAGTTTCTCTCGTTGAAAACCTCCTCACCTCGGGCGCCCTGGTTCCCTTACAAATCAGCCCTTTCATCGCTTTCCAGATCATCTAAGGGTCACTGTGCCAACATCCGGTGTAGAGAGAGAGATTCCATAGGGAGAAGGACGGAGAGGGGCCCCCTCGGCGGGGACTCGGGGACACAAGCCGGTGGCTGGAAGGTCGCGGAGGGCGGTGCAGCGCGCGAGTCCCAGCCGAGGGCCGTCCCCGCCTCCGCCCGGCCGCCGGAGCGAGTCGCCTATTTAGGGTGCGGCGGCGGGTGAGAGCGGTGCGCCCATGGCGGCCCTGGGGGACGAGGTGCTGGATGGTTACGTGTTCCCAGCGTGCGCCCCCTGCTCGTACCCGTACCCCAACCCGGCGGCCACCAAGGTCAGGGGCGCGGCGGGCGGCAGCTGGCAGCACCGCGGCGGGGGCTGCCTTCCCGCCTCCTCGTCCTCCTCCCCCTTCTCGGCGGGTGCGGCCTCGTCGTCCTTCCCGGGCTGCAGGCAGCTGACCGCCGCCGAGTACTTCGACAGCTACCAGCGGGCGCAGCTCATGGCCCTGCTGGCGCAGGTGGGGCCTGGCCTCGGGCGGCGCGCCCGCGCCCGCAGGGTTGGCAGCTGCGATGTGGCGGTGCAGGTGAGCCCGCGCGTGGACGCCGCGGTGCAGTGCTCGCTGGGGAGGCGCACGCTGCAGCGCCGGGCCCGCGACCCCCAGTCCCCGGCCGGCCCCGGCGCCCAGGGCGCAACCGGCCGCGGCAGCTCTCACTCCCAGCCGCCGGCTCGCCGGGTCCCGGAGCAGGGCAGCCTCCTGAGCGGCGCCCTGCGGCCCGTGCGCTTTCCGCGCACCGTCGCCGTGTACTCGCCCGTGGCCTCGCGCCGCATCACCGCCTTCCTGAGGGGGCCCGGGCCCAGGGCCGCGGCGGGGGAGCAGAGGTCCGGGGCGTCGGACGGAGAGCAGGGGTCGCGGTCCGTGCGACTTCGAGGCCCAGAGGAGGGAGAGGCGTCGGCGAGCAAGGTGCCCCGACGGCCGCAGTCCGAGGACGACGGCGAGGCCCAGGCCGCGGTCCGGGAGAGCTGGGAGCTGCCGGGCGACGGCCCCGGGCTGCCGCCGCGGGAGGCCCAGGAGGGCTCGGCGGCTCGGCGGTCAGCGCTAAGGAGCCCGGGGCCGTCTCCGCCGGTGGGGAGGGCCCGAGACGGCGGCGACGGGCGGGAGGCGGCCGCCGCCGGAGAGAGGCAGTCGCCACGGAGCCCGGAGCCGTGCAAGGAGCGGCTGCGCTTCCAGGTAAGGCCTGGGGCGGCCAGGGGATCCCGGGGATGCAGGTGTCTAACTGGGGCCCGGCCCTGTGACTGCTCTGGGCACTCGGAGGGGCGGCACTTCCCTAAGCGCAGGCCACTTCTGTTTCCGAAACAGCCAGTGACTGCGGCAGGTGTCTTCCTTCCCGACAGCACAGTCGCATGGGGGTGGCCTGACTCGCACTCAGCGGCTGCTCCACAGGCTGAACAGGGCGACGCCCTTGGGACATTCTTATAACCCACACGTTTGCGCTGTAAAGCTCGGGCAGTGGGCGCGCAGGCCAGTCTTGACCGAGCGGTTGGATGACTTATGAGTAGACACAGCTGAGCTTCGGAAGGAGCGTCGATTCGCAAGGACCCCTCTCTGCATATTTCCCCACTCCTTGTGACAAAACCCCTTCGACTGCTGGGATCCTGGTCAGCTCTTCTGACTTCTCCTTTGCAAGTTTCCAAGCTCCTGGAAAGCTGGAGCTCCTAAAATGCCTCCTCTTAGGAATTTACTTTTAAAAAGCATCCCCCACTCAGAAACCCAATACTGTGCTGCGAAAGCATTTAGGGTGCTGGTGTTGCTGCCCGAGAGCAGCAGGCTGAACCTTTAAACGACTGGGGCACGCAGAGGGCAGTTGTGACCCAGTAGAAGAGGAAAGGCACAAGAGGTGGTAGGAAGCTCGAGGGCGTCCGCCGTGGTCGCTTCCACAGCCTTCACAGGCTGGTATTCCTTTTGAGGGGCGGGGTTGGTGGCGGTAGGCTGATTGTGCGAGGACTGAATCCAGAGGCCAGGGCTTTCCAGCGTGGCCATGCACGAGCTGTGTGTGATCTTAGGCCAGCCATAACTTTTCTGGACTTAATGCAGTTTCACAGGTGAGCAGACTGAAGTGCTCCCCAGAGTTCCTTCCAAATCGAAAAGCCTAACTGGAAAAACATGTGTATAACTGGTTACTCACTGGGAGGGAAGCAGGGAAGTTTAAGTAACACGACTTTTGTCCATATGGAGTATGAATTACGGCTTAAGTACAACTTAGGTTCCTGGCACACTATTTGGGAATTAACTAGCAGCATAGAGAATGTAATCTTGGGTGGACCCCTTAAAGTTCCTTAGATGAGGAATCTTTTTTTTTTTTTTTGAGACGGAGTTTCTCGCTCTTGTTGCCCAGGCTGGAGTGCAATGGCACAATCTCGGCTCACCGCAACCTCCGCCTCCTGGGTTCAGGCAATTCTCCTGCCTCAGCCTCCTGAGTAGCTGGGATTACAGGCACACGCCACCATGCCCAGCTAATTATTTTTAGTAGAGACGGGGTTTCACCATGTGGACCAGGATGGTCTCGATCTCTTGACCTCGTGATCCACCCGCCTCGGCCTCCCAAAGTGCTGGGATTACAGGCTTGAGCCACCGCGCGTCTTAATTTTTCTTTAGCTTAATACCTTTCTTGTGTGCACAATCTAAGATCAGGCTTTATCTTAGAGAAAAGGCCTCCCTAAAGAATCCCAAACTTCAGAGAACTGCTTAACTATTATGTCCCTACTTATTCACTTATCAGCCAGCTGTATAAACCGAGTTAATCTGGTATATGAACTTTAAGGCCCATGCTTGCTTAATTGCTTGACTAGGCTATTAGCTCACTTCATTACTGAAGAGGCATACCCAAACCTGACCCTGATTTCTTTCATGATCTGGAGTGAAGCTGCCAATTTCAAATACCAGGTAGATCATTCCTAACTCCTGAAATAAAGGATAATTCAGGTGTTATGGTTAAACTGACATATCCTGTTGTTCAGTTCTTAGAGCAGAAATATGGCTATTACCACTGCAAGGACTGCAACATCCGATGGGAGAGTGCTTATGTGTGGTGTGTACAGGGAACTAACAAGGTAGGAAATACCAGGTAACTGGCATCTTGCTAAAAGTGTCAAGGGAGTTTTGCTTTAAGTTTATTCTCTTTCTTGTCACAGGTTTACTTCAAACAGTTTTGCAGAACTTGTCAGAAGTCTTATAACCCTTACCGAGTGGAGGATATCGCCTGTAAAGTAAATCAGATGTTTTGCAATTTTGTCTGACCTGGGCAGTCGTAGATGGCTTTTAGTATAGTTTCTTGAGTATGCTTCCAAAAAAAGAGGCCAGGTCCCCAGACCTTTAGGTTTCGACTGGCTTTTTTGTTAGGAGTGGTTGAAACAATACTCCACTGGGAAATGGGGCCTTGGTGTTAGGTTCTTGCTGCCCTTGCAAAATGCTCTGGTTAACCTCTTTTAAAACTTACCTCACTTGTGAAATGTAAGACTACTTGCCTTACTTGGTAATCTATGAGAAAATTAACAAGCATTAACCCGAGGTCGTCACAGTTGACTGTTTTATCCAAATGCTTATAAAGCACAATCTCAAAGTAGTTTAAGCACAGGGGTTTAGTTTGTCTTGCCTGAAAGCTCACAGAAGGACAGTTTAAGATAAAAATAAATTGTGTAGCATAATGGGCGGTTGACTGTAATGGTAAGCAAGAAATATGTAACTAAGCATTGCTAAGCACTTGCTTGCTCACTATTAACTGTGCTAAGGGGCTTAGCTAATCCTTAAGAGGAAAGAAGGGACTGAATTCACCTGTTATCACACGGCTAATGGAGTCTGAATTGCCAGTTGAGACAGCCTAATCAATGCACTTGACCCAAGTTGGATATTTAGAAGCATTAACACCCTGGGATGGTGGAGAGAAACTATGTACTTAGAATCACTTAAATCAGGGCTGGGCATGTTTCTGAAGGAGGATGCCTTAACTGCTCTGCTCTTGGCTTTCAGTGTCAAATTAATTCCTGACTTGTTTGTTCTCTACCCTTCCTCTTAAAAAGTTGTTGCAAAACAAACTTCACAATTCAGAATTGGATCTGATGCAATATAGCGACAGTACAGCATGGTTAAACACTCACTATTCCTAACCCTGTCAGTGCTAGGTAGATGGGGACGTAGAGGGAAAACAAGATGACTACAGGTCCTTGCTTAGAGTGCATTCAATAAGTACTTGAATGGACTAGAAAAATAGTGTTGAAATCCTAGGGAATCACTAAGGGTTTATCTTCTGTACACGCTTCTTCCCCCCCCCACCCCCACCCCCCGCAGAGTTGTAAACAAACTAAATGTTCCTGCCCAGTAAAACTTCGCCACGTGGATCCTAAACGGCCCCACCGTCAAGATTTGTGCGGGAGATGCAAAGGCAAACGCCTGTCCTGTGACAGCACTTTCAGCTTCAAATACATCATTTAAGTGAAAGCGTTGCTGTGCTGACGGAGGAAGTGAGCTTTTCTGTGCCTCTTCTCTCCCTTCTCAAAATGCTTCGTGAAAGGCAGTGTATTCTGAAAAAGCCTTCCAATAAAGGTATTTGCAACACAATTTATACACTGCATAAAATCTGTCTTTGAAAATAAAGTTTCAAGAGCGGTTGTCTTGTGCTAACAGTCTGGGCCTGTCGCTTCACCTTTATGAACGCTTGTTGATGGCATAGAGTGGGCCAGGCTCTGAGTTAGGCTGCAGCCACTTGGAAAACAATTTAGGGGGGCTCGTAGACAAGGTCTACTTTTTGGGCAGGTCTGGAGGGCTGAAGCTGAGAAGCAAGTTGTTAACTGAATAAAAAGCCACCTAGCTGTAATGTTAAGCATTCTTTTGGGAGAGGTGGAGGCAGAGCCATTTCTTGGTTGAACAAGACCGCTGGAGGTAACCTAGATTGGGAAATGCTGAGTGGCAGTGATGGGGCAGGTAAGGGCTTCGGTGTCTGGGTGACTTTAGGAGGTAAGCTACTAGGTGGAGGGAGGCTGGGAAAACTAACCTGACTCACTAGTCAGTTTCACAGATGGCAAAGTGAGGCTTGGAATAGGGTGGCTGTGGGCAGCTGGCTGCTTTCACACTGAATAACCGTCAAGCAGACCTTGTGTTTCTTCAAAGCTTTTTTTTTCTTAAAGTAAGCCTCGTAAATGTACTTAAAGATGTCAAGTTAGAGGCGTAGGCCTTAGCCTTTGTCTTCACTGACTTCTTGCTAGTCGGGATGCCAAACTCTTTCTACCTGCATCTAGTAGATTCTCGTGACTGAGGTCTCACTGCCAGAACAAACGCTCCTAGTTGGGGATGGCACCGAGTTTGGAGCCTCAAGTGCATTCAGTGAAATTAAAGTTGTACTATCTGTTTAATTACAGAAACCGTGTAATTGGAATCAGGTGCTAATTATGCCTCCAGTTCTCTAACATCCCACTTCAGTGAACCCCTTACTACCCTAAGAAGGCCATAGCACTAAGTTTTTTGTTTTTTTTTTCCCGAGACGGAGTTTCGCTCTTGTTACCCAGGCTGGAGTGCAATGGCGCGATCTCGGCTCACCGCAACCTCCACCTCCTGGGTTCAGGCAATTCTCCTGCCTCAGCCTCCTGAGTAGCTGGGATTACAGGCTCGTGCCACTATGCTCAGCTAATTTTTTGTATTTTTAGTAGAGATGGGGTTTCACCATGTTGACCAGGATGGTCTTGATCTCTTGACCTTGTGATCCACCCGCCTTGGCCACCCAAAGTGCTGGGATTACAGGCTTGAGCCACCGCACCTGGCCAGCACTAAGTTTTAACATCTTGGACACTTGGGTATAGTGAAAGGGGTTAAAAGGGCCCAAAGTGGGTTGGAGGTCTCCATGGACTCTATCTTGAGGGTAAAGGCCCACCTGTATCGCTACGGACGGAGATGGTGCATGTAAAATGCGGGTTGCACCTGTCCTATCAAAGCACTGTCAGGTGACATTTAACAGGCACCTCAGTTGTTGCTACTGGAATTGAAGCAGGAGAAACCTGTGCTTGGTAGAGATGTGGCATCTCATGGAGCTTCCAGTAGAGTGAGCAGATGGCCACTAGTTTTTACATAAATGTAAAACTGAAGTTCTGACGTGTGGTAAGATCTGCTTAAGTGCCTCTCCAATAAGGGACCTGACATGTCAGCGAAGCCCTGCCTCAAAGAATGACACCTCAGCTGAGTTCCAATTCAAATGAGTAGAATAAGGCAAAAATGGGGAGGAGAAATTTTTCAGATTAGGCCAACCTGTGCAAAATCCCTGTGGTAGAAAACTGGGAGGAGGCCACAGTGGAAGAATATTCTGGAGGACATGCCAGGTGAATCTAGCAGTGCCAGACTAGAGGGATGTTTTGGGCCTTTGTCAGGATGGTCTCTACTGGAGTACAGGGGCTACTCACAGACATTATCAGGGCACACCATACCCTCAAGCTGTTGGGCTCAAGTGATCCTCCTGTCCCAGCCTCTCAATTGGTTGGGACTACAGGCACTTCACCAGGCTGCACTAAAAAGTTTTAAAGGTATGGTGGGGATGGTAGGGCATGGTGACAGATTCACTTTAAAAAAAGATTTTGGCTGTACAGTGGATACTTGTAGATAAGGAGACGCAGGGACCAGATGAAGTGGTGGCGGGGCTAAAGAGAAATGACAAGAACTGGCGTGGGGAAAGCTGATGTGTTATTTTAATAGTTCTAACACGTGCCTGTTGATTTGGTTGGGGGTAGGTACAGGTGTAGGAAACCCATTTGTACTGTTGCTTGCAAATGATACATAACGTGCTAACTTAGCATTTCCTCAATGAATGAATGAATTACACTAATGTACCTGCATTGAATCCTAAGATAGAAATTTTCACTGGTTTTTAAAGTGGTTACATTGTTCTTTAATATTGCTTGCCATTAATTTTCCTAACACAGCAGCTAACCCTATTTTTTAGTTGAGGAAAGTGAGAGTCAGACTGCTTTACTTAGGGTGGGTGAGCATGCAGATATTCAAAGTGGCACAAAAACATGCCATTCAGATTATGGTGATTACATTCGAGCAATGAAAAGGCACTGCCAAACTCTTTGTGCCTACAATCCAAGACTTGTAAGATGTGAATACATTTTAAGACAGGTTGAGAGAGGCAAAGGAAGTACTCCAAGAGGTCTCTGGGTATCAAGAGAAGTAACTGCAGTTTTCTTTATATTTTCCACATATTCTAAAGGAACCATGGATTACTTCGAAAAATTATGGGGAAAACGCTATAAAACACAAATATATGGATTTTATAATGTCTCTCTCCTTTCGTTTAGGTTATGCCAGTGTTTTACGTGAGCAGTCTTCACTCATAGGCCTGGATGAGTCTTTTCCAAGAAAGCTTGTCATCATTTCCTAAATTTAAGGTACGTTATGTGTTTTAACACACCCTAATTTTTACATCACTAAAAGTAGCACATTTAAAAATACCTAAGAAATCCTGTGGTTTTGTTTCAGAAGCAGCATCAAGAAACTGGCAGATTGCTGCTTTTGCTGTTGTCTTACAAACATACTATCTAAAAATGATAAATGTAGTGGGCAAAAGAAAAAGGTACGTAGCAAAAACTGGGCTCCAAATGGAACTAAATCAGGGAATAAATGCTACCTTGGGATTCAGAGGATGAGGAGCAGAGAAGTGCAGGTTGGAGGAAAATGCCCTTGCAGAAGGGCATCCTAATGAACTTGTTTGCATCTTGCTTGCTGAAGGTACATTCATTTTTATTATATTAACAGACTTAGTTACATATAAACACAAAAAACAAGTATCACCTATTTGAAAGGTTTGGTTGGGTAATCAACTAATTTTGTTCTTTTTTAAGGCAATTCAAGAAGAAGGTAACATCTGAAAGGGTTCTAAATGATGCACACTAGAATCACTCATTCTTTGTTAAAATACAACACAAACCAACAGCTACAATGCTTTTTATTTTTAAGAGAAAGGATGTAAGGAGGGTGAGAAAAATAGGGGATAGTAAGGTAGGATGTAAAGTGTGACGTATCTCTGGATCCCATCCCTGTCTGCCTGCCCCACACCCAAAAGTTTTAAATAATTTAAAGGACACCATTTACAGGACCAGAATACCATCAAAATAATTGTCTTTATCAGGGTCAAAAAATACAGTGATTATGAATGAGCAGTGACCAGTTATGGAATTTTACTGGAAACGTAACTGTGGTCAGCAGGCCAATGGTGTGCACAATGCCTTCAATTAATGCACTTGAGCATACGTCATTACATTTCTGGCAGGGTCCACACCCCCAAGAAAAGGTAAAGCTAAGCATTTAATCTCTACATTCTAAACTCTGGAATCACAGAGCCCAGTTTAAAAGAAAAGTCACAGTGGATAAGAGATGTATATAAAAAATACAAGGTGTTTCTTTCAATCAGGAGTTGTGGGACTACATTTTTTTTTTTTTCTTTTCTTACAAAATGCTATTTAAAAAAGGATAGAGACTCCAGTTCATGTTATACTACAGACTTAGACAGTGAATAAGTATATTGCATGTTTTGGTAGTCAGTCTTCAGGCTTCCTTTCATTTCCCCTAGCCCCAAGTTTCTTTAGGGTAAAACATGAGAGTCCTGAATAAACATATAAAAATGCATTTGCAGCTCTTTTCTTGAATTCTACAGACTTCAAAGCCTGCAAGTCATAAATTCCATCATCCATGACCACATTTTTTTCTTTAGCTTTGTACACCTATTCTTGTATGATAACAGTGCATGGCACAAATGTACAAGAAAATACTGGTTTTAGTCTATACAGTTTCTATATGGAGCAAAATAAGTTAACTTTTCTAATGAGAATAGCTGACGGGCAGCATACATCTTTATTTTACATTTTAAAGTCTCTGCAGGCATCTACTTTGGTTAGTTATCAACAATCGTAACATAAGCACTGATCAGAGAACTGAGCAGCATTCCAATAACGTTAACAGATATATTATTTCTTTTTGAAATACTGGGAAAGCCCAGTTTTAAAATATTATTAAAATGTTCTAACATTTACATACTATGAAGAGTTAGATCTAATAAAATAACATTTCTTCAAAAATAATCTTGCAGTGCTCTTTGAGGCATGCTCTGAGACGTTATCACCAAACATCCATACCTTGAAAATATGACTATCACATATTCACACATCCCAACTCACACACACATAATTCCTTATACAGACCAAAAAAACAAACCCAAACCCTTATCCCATATATCGAAAACTCAATGGTTTTTGCAAATGAGTCTTTATGTGTATAGCTGACTGCATGTTCATGTGGATGATGAAGCATCCATTGTAGATTAGGTCTACCACTGCTAGACATCCAAGCAGCTTTGCAGGTCTTCAGCTAAAATGAAACAGCCTTGATTTCAGCCTCATTTCACCTGCTTTCAGATGGTTCAGTATTGGAGGCCATTATTGCAAACATTCTTGAAATTCTTTTCTTTCCCCAGAAAGTAATGTATTTGTAGGCATCACTTTTAGCCCTTTTCTTTTCACATAGGTTAAGTAATTTAAAAATTCCTTCTTCATACAGTTACTGTGGGAGATATTGGCA